TTTTTCTCTTACCCCCACAAACCTGAGCTCAGCCTCTCCCCTGTGTCTCTGCCCATGGATTCCTGGTGCCAGGAAGAGGCAGATTCCCCACCTGGCAGGAGCTGCCTGGTCAAATCTGTAAGTCAAGAGAGTCATTGTAAAAGAGAAAGGGACCTAAATGTAGATTATTTATTTTTTTTGTTAAAGGATAAGCTCTTTAATTAGAGGAGAAAGTCACACCCATGATTAGTTGTAAGAGTGGTGATTTTTTTACAAGCTAAATACAAAACAAAGGAAACACACTTGACATAGATCAAGTCCATAGAAGAAGGGGAAAAAATCTCCCAGGAATTCCTTCCCAGATGCAGGAATTAGATGTACCTGGGACTGCACCTCAGCTCCAATAACCTCTGCTTTGTTTTCCTTGCCCTGCAGCACCCTGAGGCCTGGGGCTCCAGCTTCTCCAGCCCATTCCCTGGGGCAGGGCTTGGCCAGGGGATCCCAGCTCTGCAGTGCCAGGATGAGGAGCTCACCTTGTTTGGATATTTACTTTTTGTTGGTTTCAGATGAGTTTTCCTTCACCCCAGCCAATCTTGGCTGCAGTGTTAAGGACAGAGGTTGCTTTGGGGTTGGGATCCGGCCCAGTGCCCGTCCCCCTTGGCCAGGAGCCCTCGCTTTGGAGAAACAACTTTCCAGACTGGCCTTTGGACTGTGGGCAGCACAAACAAGGGACTCTGTGCTTTGCTTTTCCCTTTGATCCACCAGTATCCCATGAATCCTTCCGTGAGGTATCGGTGGTTAAGTGTTCTTAATCCTTACCAGTGAACAAAGGGCTTGTCCCCTGGAGAACTAGTGAAGAGTATTTAACCTACCAGCTCCAGGTGCTGAGCCCTGGCACTTTGGTTTCCCTTTTGGTCTCAGCAGCTGTTTATGCAAAGTGCAGTTTCTGCTCTGAAGTGCAGGAGAAGGACAGGGATGTATCTGAAGTGCCACAACCTCCCCCACCCCAGTGTCTGTGCTGTTTGGGAAGGGGTGGGAGGTGGGAGTACAAGAGCAAAGTGGTGCAGAGCTCTGCTCACCAGCTCCGTGAGCATTTTTTGGGGGGTCTGAGAGCACACACTCTTACCAGCAAAGCATGAAGTAGCTGAGTGACCTGAAGGATGAGCCACCAGCACCACTGTGCCACTGTGAGAGGAGCTGCAGCCCAGGCCACGTTCTTCTTAAATCCCAGATGAATTTCCAGGTTATTTGGCTGCCCAAAGCAGAAAGCAGCTGGAGCCAGTGCAGGGCCCTGGGCTGAGCCGTGGGGCTGAGCTGGTGAGTCGTGGCTGGAGCTGTGGCACTTGGAGCTCCCATCCCACACTCCACCAGGTGAAGTGTGCTGGAGGACACAGCTCACCTTGTGTCCTCAGGACAAAGGGAGATGCAGTGACATCACTGCAACTGCTCAGAGGCCTCTTGAGCCTCTGGGATTCGAGATTAAACCAGATGCAACCTATGAAGCTCTGCAGGTCCCTTGCAGCAGGTGGTGGGTCCAGCCCAGATGCTCATCTCTGACCCTGGGGAGTTTACCCTGGGGAGTTTTCCCTCTGGGGCTGGGCCTCCTGCCATCTCTGCCTGTCCTGTTGGTCTGTGTGGTCCCAGCACTGACCTGTTTTGTTTCCAGCACAGCTGGCCACTCCCCGGGGTGCCAGCACCTGTGGGAGCCTCAATGTCTTCTCCTGGGCTCAGCTGCTGTCTAGTTCCTGCTTGCACCAACTTGTGGGTGGCTGCCTCAGATTAGGTGGTGGTTTCAGATTTATTCATGCCCATCTGAGCCCTTGGTATTTTTAAACTTGTAGAGCAAGCCCTGAGCTCCTGCCCTGTCCTGAAGGAAAGTGCCTGGGCCCTCCTGGCATGTGGCCACCCAGCTCCCATGGGCTCCTCTCCAGGTGGTGCCATTTGCATGGACCTCAGACCAGAAACAGCTTTTGTGGGTTGGGAAAGAAAACCAGCAAGTAGAAACAGATGTCTGTGTGATCAGGTGCTGCTGTCGTGGTGGAGTTAAAGTGATACTGATTCTTTTTATTATTTTTACAGGAGAAATGCATCTGGAAAGGACTTGATGGGTCAGCAGCCTCAGGTGTCCCCTGCCTGCTCACCTGGATCTGTCAGAGTGGCACTGGGAGCCCTGTGCTGCTCTGCTGCTGCTCCTCATCCTGGGGTGGGCTGTAATTAGCAGGGCTAATGTCCCCCCCTTCCCACGGGCCGGGAGGGAGGAGGGCTTGTGGGGAGCAGGGCTGGTTGATGGGGAGCTGGACATGGTCTGAAAAGTGACAAAGGGAGTGTCTGTGCTGGGGGACTTGTAACCTTTGAGAACTTGCTCAGAATTCCTCTCCCAGCCCAATGGCTGGAAGTTTCCATGTGGCCTCAGCCATGGCTGGGTTGTGCCTGGGGTTGCTTTGCTTGCCTGGCACTGTGCTCACTTCCCGTTGTTCCAGGAGGGAAGCAAAGCCCCCCAAAGAGCAGGAAACACCTTATGATTGCTCTGAGGAACCTTAAATAACGACCAGGGACTTGGAGCATCCATATGAGTAAGAAACCCCACCTGGTGCATTCACAGGAGGCTCATTAGTGGGGTAAATCCTGGAAGTCAAAGGGATGAAACAAACCCTCATCACCTCCCCAGGGGAGGTGGGAGCTGCCTGGAATCCTAATGCCAGGAAGGGCCCTTCAAACTCTCCCTCTTAGTATTTTCCCAAAGAGAATCTGCCTTGTCCAAAGATAACAGTTCAGCAGTGAGTGCCTGGTGGGTGATCCAAGGAGGAGCTGAAGGGGAAGGCTGGGGCAAGCATTTGGTAGGAGCATCCCATGGGAACAACCTGCATCTGCCTGAGAAAGGTGAATCCAAGGCTGCTCTTACTCACTTGTGGCTTTACTGGAATGGCTGTTGGGATTCCAGCTTGGAAAATAAAACCTTTCCTAATAAACAGTGATTCATCTTGCCTGGAGTTACAGAGAAGGTCCTGTAGGCTGCCCTTCTCCCACAGGAGAACCCAGGTGCTCTCTTTCCACGGTGGATTCCCAGGGCTGCCACAGGTTTCTCCCATCACTCGCCCCCATCCTTTTCCCCATCTTCCTCTGGAGACAACTGGCTTTGCTCCAGTGTGGCCACATCCTGCACACAGAGCCCAAGCCCTGCTGGGAGCTGCCTGTGCTGCTCCCCTCCTGGTTTATTAGAATAGAATAGGTGGGTTGTCCCTTCCTTGCTTTCACTGGGAATTTTTTTCCGGTGCTGGCAGAGCTGGCCCGAGCCCTGGCTGCTCTCATCCTGCTCAGTCTCCATTCTCACCTCCATTTTCGTCAGCCCAGGAGTCCTGGCCCCTTCCTGGCACCGGAGCTGTCGCTCAGGGAGGTGCTGGATGCCGACCCAGCCCCGGTTCCCGGCAGGAAGGAACTGGGGTGGGGGCAGACAGTGCCTGGAGACAGGACCCCTCTCATCCAGGGAACATAGATCCTGGGGATGGATGGCTTTGTCCATGGCTTTGTCCCCTCTGGAGTCCTCTAAGTCCCTGCGAGCAGCCCGGGCTGTGCCCCAGCTCCCCATCCACACTGGCTGTCAGAGGGATTGGGGGGTCCCTGTGGGGCACCAGGTGCTTTCTCCCACCCTGCTCCAAGCCCATCTTGGGGTGCAGCGTGTCCTCCCCCCCCTCCATGTGTCATTGCTGCAATGCCACGTCTGCAGCCCCCCAAGCTGGGGCTGGGGGCTGCCCCCGTGGGAGCGCTCAGCCCTCGGGAAGGGGAGAGGGCAGCCTAAAAATAACCCCTGGGCCAGCTCCAGCCCATTGTGGCTTCCTGCGATTTACAGCCCTTCCCAAAGGGGGAAGAGAAGGCAGGAACCGGCCTGGCTCAGGGCTGGCTTTGACTCTTTCACCACCAGTAGAGAAGGTACCAGAAGGATCCTTCCTCCTTCTTCCCCCTCACCAGCCTTGGGGCCAGGGTGGGATCCTGGGGAAGGGGATCAGGGTGGGAAACTGCTCCTGAGCTGCACCCAGCAGCTCAGGGTGGATGTGGGGGAGCTGCTTGTGTGGACATGGTTTCCTTGTCCTATTCCTGATGCCCCGTGTGCTGAGGGGGATGGAGAGAGTCTGTCCTGCCTGGGAGGAGGCAGAGATCTCTGCTGTGGATCCCAAAATCCCGGCCAGGCTCCTGCAGGGAGGAAGAGAGCTGGCAGAGGTGAGCTGGAGCTGCAGCAGGAGAAGGGTTAACTCTGGCTGGGCAGGGCTTCGGGGGGTGTGAAGGCTGAGGAGGGGCAGGGAGAGCACAGGGTGGGCTCCTGGGGACAGGGCCAGGCTGGCAGGGGTTAACGGGGTGGCTCTTCCTCTTCCTCACCCTCTTATATGAGGCTGCGGCGACTCTGGACTCAGTTTCCTGAGGGGCAGGAACAGAGAGAGACTGGAGCATCCCTGCATCCCGTCTCTGAATCCCAACCCTGCATCCCATCCCTGCCTGGGCTCAGGGCTCAGGTGAGTACCTGAGCTGTATTCACGCAGGTGAGTACCTGATTCAGGTGCTGAATCCAGCAGGTCAGCACGGGTCCCGGCAGTGGGGCTGGGCTGGGAGCGAGCAGGGACGCGGGCAGTCGTGTCCTGGTGGGTTGAAGCCAGTGGGTGATGGGACTGTGTGCCCGGGGCAGCCCCTCAGCACTGGGGGAGACTGGGGGGTTCATCCCTTGGGAGCACAGACCGGACAAACCGCTGCAGCAGGGGATGGATGCGGTGTTGGAGCCACGGGCGGGGTGTGGAGGAGCACGGGCAGGTGGCTCCAGGGCTCTTTCCTCTAGTGAATCCTGCTCTTCCCGGCCCCGTGTCCCCGCTGTCACCTCGGGAGGCTGTGGGGCTGGGTCAGCTGCTCTTCACAGCTATTCGATCCCCTTCTGCTCAGCAGAACCATCTGCTTTGGGTATTTATTGCCCCTGGGTCAGGCTCCAGACCCCCCCACCTGGCACCTGCCTCCACCACTGCTGGATTGACACTCCCGGGATGCTGGGGTACAGCTCAGCACCCCAGGGTGGATAAAAAGCCCCGCTGCTCCACGACCCCCAGGGAATGAGCGGGAGCGGGTCCCTCCCTCCCAGGCAGCCGAGCT